ACAAGTACTGGGAGGCAAGTGGCATATTTGTTTTATAAGGTTATAAAACTTTTAAGACCCAGACTATAAAGTTTCTTGCCTATTTCATTCGAGAATGTGCTGACTACTAATCCAAATTTATTAGCTAAGTTTAAGTTTCTCGATTCATATTTATTTAATGCGATGTGATTTACTTATTTATTGCTGTTTACAATTTTTTTGTCTTTTTTGATTGGCACTTAAAGGAAAACAACAGCTCTTTTAAATGCACAATAAATTTACTACGTACAGGTACCCAGGCGGATGAGTAATATTTTTTTGTTTTTTTAAAACGTAACTGTGACTGGGCAATTTTAAATACTTTTTATTTTTGTTTTAAGAGTTTTATTGAGTAGAAAAAAATTGAAAGTATTGTAGATGTATCTTTTTCTTCTATAACCTACTGTTAGTGAAATAAGCAATAGGTGAGATCTTATATTAATTACAAAGTATGAACAACCTTACATTCTAATTCTTAAGAACTTAGGTGAGCTTATATTTTTGTTGGAACTTAAAGGACATTTTGTTTAATGTAGGTAAGTTAAAACTGCATGGCGAATTAACCACAATTTTTATTTGAAGTATATACACCGGCCACCTAGGCGGATGAGTAATATTTTCGATTTTTTATAACCACCTTTGCTATTTCCCATTCAACTTTGTGAGGGTATCCTATTGCGGAATGTCCAGTGATATTGGCCGTCTTTCTGTTGTCAGCTTACGCTCTTTCCGGTCCATCTTCTTTGCCGCCTGGAACAGGACACCAGTGTGGTCCCAGCACACTTGTGTGTAATATTGCCACAATTTGCTGGCCAGTTCCAAGGCCCCAAGCAATAAGCCAAAAACCAGCGGCCATTACAACCCGTGTGGATCGTCATCCTGCGACCCCGATTTCTTCGTCCATCCGCAAGCATTTCGGGCCCACCTCGCCGCCCTGTAATCAAACATAAAGACTGGCAGGAGAGGGTGGTTAAATGGGAAGGAAAAAAAACCAAAAAAAGAAAACAAAATCTTTATGAGGGAATACCGCGAGCAATAAAATGTAATATGAGCAAATGATATGGGAATGGGTGGGAGGGCGGCAAGAACCACAAATAAAAGCGGCTGGCAGAGGCAATGACAATAAAGAACGAAGAGGAAAATCAAAGTTATGCAATGGCCCCCCCGTTGAATGTCAGTGTATGTTCCTCTGCGTGCGATAAAATTAACAATTCAATGAAGTGAATTCGAAATGGCAAATCGAAAAGCAAAATCGCTGAAAAGGGGAGCTGGCTTTGGACCTAGAAGAGCATAAATGGCAGACACCCAGCCAAAAATAAAAAGGAAGAACATATATACGAGCACACGCAGTGAGCAGGGCTCATAAAATATTGCGTATACGTTTAGGAGTACAAAGCCAGACGCACAATAAAAATTAAAATAAAATAAGAAAACAGAAGACCACAAAAAGTTTTTCCACAGCAGCTGTAACAATTACGACTGTGTGAGTAACTTGGTTGGTTTTCATATTGATCTCTCCCAGAAAAAAACAACCTAGTGGACATAATTCCGCTTTTCTTTCTACCAAATATGTTTTGTTATACTGTTTTGGACCCAGCTAGCGAAAAAACAATGTCCTTGCATACGTATTTATAAAAGCTTTGTTAAAATAAATTTATATAATATAAAAAACAAATCAAATTTCATATCTGCAAAAAGCATATGCAAACACTTTATACACTAAAGCATGTTTTTCCCCATTCATTTACAAACATTCCTTTCTTTATTATTTCAACACTCAGGAAAAACGCCGCTGCAAATTTTGTGTGCTCTGTTTTAATTTGAGCTGTATGTATTTCCCAAAAAAATATTATTTAAGAATAATAACCGCATAAAGAAAGCTTAGTTCGGCAGGCTAAAGTTATTATACCCTTGCTGTTTTACCGAGAAAAATTAGTTAACCAAAATTCGCCAAAGCTTCATGATATAAGCCATTATAAAATATTAAAAAATTACTTCAGCAGGCCGGAGCTTCAATACTCTTGCTGTTTTACCGAGAAACATTAGTTGGCCAATTTTCGGAAAAAATACATAAGCCCATAAACCCATATAAAATATGCAAAAATTGGCCTTCAAAATATATATACACTTAGTGGGGTCGAAAACTTCTTCTTCAATACGTTACAAACTTCTGGCAAATATTATAATACCAACTGCAGGGGTATAAAAACAGAACCACAACCAAAACATTTGCTTACGGACTGAATCCATAAAATAGTATCGAAACAAACATAAATTCACATTCCCGTATTATGAGCTCAACAGAATGGTTAGTTTAACAACACGAACATTTCTCTTCTAATTACAATTTTTTTTAAGCCCCAGGCTTATGCTTACAAAATACATAATATTAAATTACAAACTAAACAAAAACTATTTTGAAAATGATTGTTTAGAAAACTTAAACCAGTTAAAGTTAGCAAAAACTAAGCGTTTTATTCACATTAAATTTTAACTCAAAACCAACTGCACAGGAAATGGCATGTGTATCCACACACAAATAACTTAAGTTGATATGTTTACCCTGAAGGAAGATATTTTTGTTTCTATTACGAGTTTGTCAGGTTTGGTGTTTAATGAACAGAATGAAGTGCCATTCAAAATTAATATGACAAATCTTATGTTAAGGGCTTAAAAACTTAATGCTTGTATTGATTATTGTTTAAATTTATAGGAACAATGCATTAAATATTTGCCAAAACAAAAGTAATCATAACAATTTCGTCTAAATAACAATGCCTATGCTGAAATGATGAGCTGCGGCTTAATTTTTAATTAAAATGCCAATATAGTCATGTGTTTAATTAAGCTGCTTGATTTTATCGTTTGAGTGTTGCCAAATGAAATCGATGGAAAGCCGTCGCCGTCGGTGGCGTCTTTTGTTTGCACGCCGTTGCGCTAAAATGTTTGCACTTGGCTTAAACGCAAAATTTGCTGATATTTGGCAAAGAGGCAAAAGGATGCCCGAGAATGCCGAGAGTGGAGCGATGCAGTGTCAATGGCAGCATCTGCGGTTTTCCGGCCGGTTTTCCACGGGTTTTCCAACCCAAAATGCGGGGAGGGTTTGTATTGTAGCTTGAATTGTTCATATTTTGATTAATTTCTCTATGCGTTGCGGCTCCTTGCGGTGGCTGCCGTTGTTGCTGTTTGTCAAGCGAAGTAATTGCTAAATCCAGTGCGTTTGTGTGCTGCAATTATGCTCACGCACACGCACACGCACACACACACACACACAAACGCACACACACAGCCAAACTCAAGCACACATGCAAACTGCAGTTGAGCAAATAAAGCGCTAAAAGCATAAACTAAATGAATTAAACGACACAACCAACACAGAGACGAGGCTTACAGCACCCACCACCAACCACCCCACCCCCCTGAACTATATAAACGTAATGTGTATATATGTGCATTATTGCTGGATTGCTGGGTTGCTGCCACATCCACCCCTGTTTTCCTCCTGAAACTTTCTATAAAATATGAGATAATAAAAAGTGAATTATGCTCGCGCCCAGCAGCGGCTCCAGCGGAATGAGGACAAGCAAAACCAAAAAAAAAATATATATATATATAAAGCTCTGATGAAGAACAGCAAATAAATGCGAGTACAAACATAAAGCAATAACAGCATCAACAAGAGCCCAGCAACAGCAGTTAATTGCAATTGTTTGTTCGCCAGTTAGCTTTTTATTTGCACTTTAATTATGAAAAATAGTGGTGGTCCGAGCGTCGAGCACCGAGCACCGAGCACCGTGCACAGCGGCAGAAACTAATTTTCATAAGTAGACAACTTTGCACTGCCAGTCGGTGCGAAGCAGGGCGAAATGAGAACAAGCACTCACATGACTTATGACAAAACACAAAACTTGATGGCCAACCGACTACCGACTACTGACTGCTGACTACTGGCCACTTTAGAGACACAAAAAGGAGCCGCAGGAAGTGAAATGAAATGAAAGCAAATGAAATAAAACGAGGCACTCGAGGATCCAAAACAAATAAAGTTATAAATAATAATGCGAGAAAATTAAGATGCAAGCTGGATGCTCAAGTGAAATGCTTGGCAGCTATGGCAACCCCATGAAAATCTTACATTATTCGGAAAAATAAATAAGAGAGGGATAGGGATTAAATACAAATAAATAAATAATATCTCAAAAATAAATTTATATTATGTAACTTGTAACACAAAATATACCGCCCCCTTTTCTACAAATTCCACATATGGATAAAATGATATTTTATTAACTTTATTTAAGGAGACAAACAAATAAAGTTATAAATAATAATGGCAGAAAATTAAAATGGATGCTGGATTATGGCAACCCAATGGAAATCTTACAAATATTTGATAGGCTGTGGGAATTAAACACAAATAAACAAATAACATCACAAATAAATTTACAATAAGTAATTTATAAACTAACATCAAACATACTGTACAATATGGTATTAATGCCAAACATTTCTTCGTTTAACATTTGCCAATTAAAAAACACGTACGTTAAAATACTTAAATGATTAATTACAAATGTTAGTTGAGCAGTAAATTAATTAATATGCATTTGTGAACGCTGAATCAATTAAATAAAATTGTACAAGCACCGCAATGAGCGAATTTTATTAATGTTGGAATTAATCGATAAACTTTCACTGGTGATTCACAAAAGAAATTAAATTCCGCATTTAATTATAATACCTCAATGAATTCAAATAAGGAAATAAGTTAATATATTATCCATATATGTTATGCATGCATATCCATTAATTTATTAAACCAAATAAATCGATAAAAACAGCCCAAAGAAAGTTCTGGAACAAAATGCAACCAACTAAATTGAGTAACCCATATTAATAAACACATAATTGTACAAATTGGGAAGCAATCTAAGTTGGCTGTGCTGTATGCTTCACATTTGTCAAGGTGCCATTCAGTTTGCTCTGATTTTCAATCCACTGGAGAGCTCGGACTGGTTTACTAAATTGAAAACTTCTAATTTTGGTTGCAAATGAATTTCAGCCGAGTTAATCGAGTAAATCGTTCCCGCGACGACGAAGGAATTGATATGTCATCCCTGAACTCTGGACTGACTGGCAAGGCCAAGAAGTTGGCCACAAATCCACACTGGCTAACTGTCTTGAAGAAACTGCCGCCGAAGCCGCAGAAGTCAAACCGTTTGTTTCAGCCAACATTGAAGAAAAAAGCCATTCCGGTCTCTTTGGTGGTTGGACGCAAGGGTGTCCAGGATGTCCACGATGTCCACGATGGTCACAATGTCCACGATGTCCACGATGTCCAGGATATCAAGGATTTCCAGGATGCCAAGGTAGGAATGACAGTTGAAGAACCACTGCAAGGAAAAGAACTTGCCAAAAGACTTGCATCCAAACGCAATGGCGTGCGTAATGGTCGTGGTGGCAGGATCCTGGATCGCCAGTCCGGATCAAGACGCACCGGGGTGAAGGCGGTGTTCAAGCGCAATGGGGGCGGGGCCCACAATTGGGGATCGCCCAAGCAGGACATCGAGATGCGCAACGAGATCGATTGGAGCCCCTCTTTCAATAAGACCAAGAAGTCCAGCAAGTCGCTGGACATGGAGGATTCGATGGAGAAAAAGGAGCTGTTCACCCTAGACGAGTGGCGTGCCATGCGTGTAGGTGCCCAGCAGAAGAAGAAGCCTCCTCAGGAGAAGGGGCAGGAAAATGAAGACGGTGCACCAGGACCAGGATCATCGGGAACAGAGGCCACTGGACGCCGCTGTGGACGCCAGCAGCGCCTAGTCGACATCAAGATAATTTTCTATGACAAGCGCCTGGCCAGCTCCTCCAAACAGGGTCCCACTCTGAAGATCTCCCAGGATCCGAAGTACTGCCCAAAGGTTGACGACGAGTTGCAGTTCCCAAATCTTCGCTAAGGCTACACATTTTCAAGTTGTCCATTTCCGTACAACTTCGTGTTCTGCGTGATTGGTTGTTATATTAAAAAGCCATCATTGATCAATACTTAATATGCGTTTTACTTCAACATCAACTTCAGAAAAGGCACTATTAAATAAAAATATGAAACAAATTTAATGAAACTGATTTAATTTACTTAAATTTAAAAGTAGTGTTTAACATGAACGCTTCTCTGATTAAAGCCCAGTTAAATACAAGTTTGAATATTAAGGCTCAGAGAAATGTATCACTTCCGATATCAAATTAAAAGGCTAATATAGCATTTATCTGGCTAAAAGGTACCAAGGAATAATATTGAAATGAATAAGCTTACAAATTACAAAAATAGGTTATCAGTTTACAAATAAAAAAAAAAAAGTAGCACAACAGTTATTTAGAAATAAAACATACTGAAACACATTTGCATGTGTAAGATTTATAACATGAAATTGATATGCCAATATGTGAATAGAAAATCAAAGAATTTGAGTGATCCTTTAATAGTTCTTCCTTAGTTCTTCAAAAGATCTTTGATTTAAATTTGCCTGAATCACCTAAGCTTGTGTCCTCTTAATCGCCTTACCATTTATTCGCAATCATTTTTTTTTTTTGGAGGTCGTTTTCCAAATTCTTGGGGAGAACTTAAAGTCGCTTTAAGGTTGTCCGCAAAGCCTTGAACGAAATGAAATTTTCCGACGTCACCGCAAACTTTTCAGTTTTCCATGTTGTGTTTCATCTTGTTTCTCACGCCCACCTCCTTTTCGCTGCTAGTTTCAGCTTTTTGTGCTTTCTCTTCCATGTTACATTAAATTGAACAAATTCTAGCGAAACAAAAACAAAAGCAGCAACTGGGGAGCATAAGAAACTGTAGAGCTCGAGTGCAAAAATAGAAATAAAAAATAGGTCTGCCAACTTTTTTGCGCGGCCTATTCTCTGTCCCCCTCTCGTTCGCACTAATTACAGCACACGTTCAGTGTCAAGAGTAGGAAAGAGACAGCTACAGCGTACGATAGAAAGGGAAAAAGTCTCTGCGAAACTGCAAATTAAATGAAATTCTAGAAAGTTTTTATATTCCCTTTTTTTTTTATTTTGCTTTTTCCACACAGCTGCAGGGTACATAATAAAAAACTGTTTTGGTCCTTGTTTAATCTTATTTAATTGTATTTTATTTAATTTACAACATATAGTGAGTAGAGGCCGAATCGAACTTGATTTGTCCTTTGCACCTCTACGTTTACATAACTGGCAACCAATTAGGAAGATACCCCAAGATCTGAAGTTTTTGTTAGCATGATGAATACATTTCGGTTGGCCTGGCTGCTTGTTAAAATTGATTGCCAGCCAAAGCAAGGGAAAAGCAACAACTGCTTAGGCTGGTTACCTTTTTGCCGACTTTCGAGCCTGGGCCGAACATTGATTTATATTTGTATTGACACTTCTTCGGCCCCCTTTGGCAAAAAAGCCCCGTGCCAACAAAACTGCCACTCCGATGCTGTTTGCCTATCGCACGAATTTGTCCTTGTCATTGTTTTACAAGCAGCCCCTTTTTCTCACGCCCGCTTTTCCTCCCGGAAAACCGGAGACAAAACGAGCCAATCGATTAAGCAACTTCGGAGTATTCCCTCAGCACACTCTGGCATATTCATTTTGAAAAGGCTTTTTGTAATCAAAAACAAAAAATCTCATTTTCAATTAAATATTAAAGGAAAACACATGATTTAGGTACATATATTTTTTACATAAACAAATATTTTAAAGATTTTTGACATTATAGTTAGGTGTTTGCAAATCTAGCAAACTTTTTCTTTGATTTTTTTTTTATTTTGGGCTTTTACATTTCGTATAAAATCTTTGAAAATTAACCAAACTGATTTTATGGTCTATCTCTACGAACGAAAAGGTCTTATTAGCGTAAAATCTTTTCAAAAATAGAATTCCCACTATATGAAAAACATTTTTTCGTAAACTCTATAAGCCCCACATGATTGCAAGCAAAATGTTTATTAGTTTCCCTTAAATATTGCTGATCCACAAACCACAAACAAATCGGCAGAATTGAAAGCTTCGTTACACAATGGCTGGCATGTAGAGCAGCATCGTAATGATTGTATAATTTTTGTGGGCATTGGGTCACACTTGAATAGTCCTGTTTCCGTCAACTGAAATTATGTCCAAGCTGACACACCAAATTACCATTGATAAATACCGGAAATGTGCTACCCACGCCCTCTTTTGACCCCCTTTTGACCCCCTTTTGACCCCCTTTTGACCCCGTCCTGTTTTTGTTCATTTGCGGGGAGGTCAAAGGCCATTGGTATTGGGCGCAGCTCACAATGACCATGCAAATTGGACACGGTTGCAGTTCGACTCCACCACCAGCACCACTCAATCCCCATCCCCATTGCAATCCCTGTCTGATGGCTGGAGCTGGGTCATGTTTGTGTGGCGTGTGTTTGTTTAACTTGGTCATCAAGACAAAACAAAAGGTGGAAAAGCATGGGCAACATAGTGCTAAAAAGAGGACAACCGGTGCCGTTGAATGCAACATAGTTGGTGGTTTCTTTTGAAGGCTAAAGCGGCACTGAGGCAGGCACTAGTTCACAGACGGCTTCCTGCAATTAATGTGATTTTGTTACGAATAACCCGACAATTCCAATAAATAACAAATGAAATGGTTTTAGTCTTGTCAAAATAATATATTTTCCAATTCCAATGAGTTACTAAAACACATTTTTATCAGCTGTTTTATATTGCGTAAGAACATTCTGTAAACATAATTTAAATATACCTATAAACGGGAATTAAAAACAGGATACATTTTTGAATTTGTCCACCATAATTCGATTTTGGCAATTATCTAAGTGCAATTATTGCAAGCAGAGCACGTAAATCGAAAATAATTTGCAGGCCTGTGAATCTAGTACGATAAATTAAGCTAGCCAGTAAATTTATATTTGATTAGTTATGAGCATGGTAGAAATAATTTCTATAATATTTGATAGGTCAGAAAGAGCGGTGTTCAACCATATTAAATTACTTGAATTATAAAATTATTGTCAAGTCATTTTTCATAACCAAATTTAGAGATTATCTTTTATTCAGTCACTTTATTGAATTCCCTTTTAGGGCTTTATTATTTATTTATTTATTGGGTTTTTGTGACATTTGCTATTTCTCAAGACTTTCCCTTCTCGTTGTCATATTTAGCCTCTTATTTTTTTTTTTTGGTCATAAGATTGAGTGGTTTATTGTTAGACCGCCTTCGGCGATCGATGGCACCGAGCTATTTTTGACATGTCGCCCATGTCAACGTCAACACAACGCTGACATCCAAGTGGCGGGCCAACACCTGAGACATGGCTCCAAGCCGAAATTCACATTTTCCATTTCCCATTTCCCATTTGCCATTTCCCCCTGGCACTTTCCAAGTGCCATTTCCCAATGCCGCTTGCCGTTCGAATACCGAGCACCGAGCACTGAGTGCCGAGTGCCTAATGATGCGGCTGAGCGGTGGACGGGGTGCCCGGAGTTCTGTGTTTGTTTATCTAACGAGTAAATACGATTTTAATTAAATGTAAATCACATTGTCAAGCCACAGACACACACACACACACACAGCAAAGCCATAAAAGTTACTCCGCTTGGAAAAGTGAGGAAATTCTAGAGAGGGGAGGGGGGAGTGTGGCATCAACACCATCAACAATTTGAGACACACCAGCTGCCTGCTGGGTAGACTTTTCCGCCACACCAACATACATACATATATTGCTTTCGCATGTTACTCATACGCCCCGTTGCTCTGCAACAACCAGCTCCCCATTGCAAATCCAACAAAACTCCATCTTCTTCAGCCATAAGCCATGGCCAGGACAGGCACGGCACAGGCACAGGCACAGGCACAGGCCAAAACACCCTTGAGATTATTAATTAAAAGACAAGAAAACATAATTTCTAAATTTCCATACAAAAACCAAAGAACTCATGCAGAGGCAACAACCGAAAACAAAAAAGGGCGGAGAACGGCTGGAGAGAAAGAGGGTGGAAAGGTTGGGGTACACACGGAGAAAGTAATGGAGGAAAAGGGAATTGGTTATTGTGCAACTCTGGCAGATGGAAGCTCATTTGACAAGAGATGTGGCTGTGTACTTTTGTCTTATCAGCTTGCAGCCCAGTTTGGCATACTATATTTTAGAGTTCAAAGCGAAGACAAAAGAAATTAAATAAAAGCAATAAATAAACACCAAACTGAAATGACTTTTTATTGTTCTACAACACAAGAGATTGGTATAATGGAAATTTTAAAGAATTTCTTCACCTCTAGACTTCAACTTTCAGGTAAAAGTGCATGGGAACGAAATTTAACTACGAAAGTAAACGAGGATTATTCCCCAACATGTGCCCATCATAGTTTTAAAACAAGACTTTAAAGTAAAACATTGATCTTTAAAATACATATAATATTTCATATTCATATATCTTATTTTATTGATTACGAAGGGGAACTAGAACAATTTATAAACTATTTTTTACAAAATTTCTATATAAGTTTTATGGGGAAACTAACTTTCGTACAGCGAATTTGGCCAACAAAAAAGCACTTGCAGTGCTGATCCCTGCCTAACCCATCGTTGGCACACTTATCCATATCCATTGCATTTTTTAGAGCACAGATTGCCACCTGGCTGGCTGCCCATCAATTCAAATGTCACTGGGAAGGCGGCTTCAGCTCCGGCAGTTTGAATTGATGATGCCGATGATGGTATCGCCACGAAGGCGTTGCCAGCAAAATCTTACGACATGTTCGTTCACCCCGGCCGGATCCGGATCCGTATCCATATCCGTCCGTCTCCAGTCACCAGTTACCAGTCACCAGTCTCCAGTCTCCTCTTTCATTTGCCGAACTCAACAAAAGGCATGTGCCATTGTCGTCGTTTATGCCGTCAAAGTGAAAATCCATGCGAGAAATTATATGTCAAAGTTTCACTTTTGATATGCCAAAGCATTTGCGTGCCACCCACACAGATGTGGTGACGCCTGGGGGTGGTGACCTCCACCTCCTGATGCTG